CGTCTTGCCTTTTGCAAGGAGTATTTATACCTCAAAAGCTCATGATTGTTGTCAGTATAATCAGTAGGTGATCATTAGGTACAGGCAGTGTGCGCACTGATTCTGATGAGGAATGTCTTATCTTCTTAACTGCTCAGGGTCCCGAGCAATCAATGCTGCGTCATCGGGATGCCGACGGTACAATGAACTCCTCTCGGGGAGGATGCAATAAATGCTCTGTATTAGGAACATTTATTGTCTTTCATTTCCGAGGCTTACCGCATTGAATGCAATCTCGTCAAGGGAATGGTGTAATTAATCGTTTGTTTTCCCAAGTCGCGTGTCACCAACGGCATGCGGTTTTTCTGTCTTTGATGTGACATCATGTGCCACGCGTCCATCCCCCATTGGCTGTGGCCCCTGCATTCCTGTACGTTCTGACATTAATTGTGTAAGACGAGGTCATGATGAATAGCCTAGACTAGCCTAGGCTAATGACCTGTACGTCAATAGCTTATCCTGGAGCAGAGGAGTCGTCCAGGACGGGGTACCTCTCAGCACCGAGGAAAGGCTCATCTCGGACCCGAGGGAGGTATACCGACCGAGGTACCATATCAGACCGAGGCTACGTGTCGGTTGTAAAACGCACTGAATGCCATGATCCCATATGACGAGTACCTCGGGAGCGAGGGACCTTTGTGAGCCGATGATGCTTGATTTTAGCAATAGTGTTTTGGTAATATCAAGGACACGTATCTTCATCATGGAGTATTTCAGAAAAGTTCCATCATTAACCTTTGTTTTTTTTTTATTGTGAAAGGGCACATGCTTTCTAACCTCCTATGAAGCGGGAGGTTTTATTACCTAGTCTATTTCCTTTGAGATTAGGTATGTTTATTTCTTCGATCATGTATTTGTTAGTGAGGATAATTCGAGAAGTTTTTGAGCATGTAGTTATGTATTCTTTTTTGTCAATTTTATCAATAAAAAATCACTATTTTTTGAAGACTTGCTATGTATTTCTCTTTACATTTTTGTCATTCATAGAGGATCACATTCAAATGGTTTATAGCAGAATACTTGTTGCCGTTAAATATAGAAATATTTAGTTATGAAAATATGAAGAAAAAAAATTTAATCCATCACAAAACATGCAAACTTTAGTTTCAAGAGGTCAATAAAAAATAATTTAATTAATTGCTATTAATTTTAGAATTTAAATATAAAAATGCAATTTCATATGAAATTCATGACAAGTGTAGCAAGTCGAAAAAAAAAAAAAAAGATCTATTCGTATAGTGTGTGCGTGTATTCTCTTTTCCACCAAAATTTTAATTTGTTAGATTAAATTCTAATTAGTCATGCTTGCTGGACATTGAAACTTATGAAAGGAATTTAAGAAAAAATCCCTTTTATTTTTTAAAATATGAAGAGTAATGTTATTTTGGTTATATAATGATGTGATATATTAAATGTTCCAATATTACTATCCTAATCGTATTAAAGGAGACATCATGGCAAAACATGAAACAATTTAGGGTCAAGTTACAACTTTTTAAGATTAAATTACAACTCAAAAATGATTGATCACAAAAAATATACGTTTAAGAGGTAAAGGTATACATTTTAAAGACTATTCTGTCTATTATGTGATTGTCCAAACATCTTATGATCTATCACAATTCTTATAATCGATCGTGACATTTGTAATTGATCGAATAACTAAGTGTTATAACTTATTTATTAAAAGTTATAACTTAATCATTGAAATTTTAATTTTTAGTATGATATCTTTTTTTTGGTATCGTAGATTTACTATTATTTTAGTTGCAATTCTTGGAGTTCTTTATTAGAATCCATCATTTAATACATTTTTAGGTCAATTTTTTTAGATTTCAAAAGTATTATTCAAATATAAAGGTACTCATAAATTTTACAAAAATCTTAAAATTTTAAATATGCCTAAAAAAATTTTAATTGCCCACATTGTAAGGTTAAAAACTTTAAAGAGATTATTTCATTTAGCCCATCAAATGGGTATCAAAACATTTGGAAATCAATCTCCAGGCCCAAGCTGTGGGAGACCCTAATTCAACAAAAAAATATTGGGCGTAAGCATGACACTATTTTAGCATTATTATATGGTATAACCGTCTTTTAAGAGGTAAATAAAATAAGTCAAAGAGTAAGTCCTATTACAACTTATAACCATGCAGTCATGTCATACATATCCACCTCCATGATAGAAAGTGGATCCTAATTTATCCTATTTATTTTTTTATTAGATCGGTACAAAATATCAACATTATTAACATGATAACGATTACACCCAATGATTACATCACTACTCAATAATAAATTATCAAGTGGGCAATGTGAGGGTGGCGAGGGGGTCTTATCCTTTCAAATAACTATCCTCATATAAGGAGTAAATATTAGGTATAATAGTTACAACATATCAATATTGTCATGTGGTATAAATTTGACTAAATTAAATGTTAATTGAATTAAACATCATGTTTCCAACAAAAATTAGATTAAACGTAATGTTAATTGGATGAAATTGAATGTTAACTTGGTGCTAATTTAAAAAATAATTTTAATTTGATAAAGCAAAATATTAACTTCATAAAATTAAATTTTAATTGGATAAAATTTAATATTAATTTGATACAATTGAAATTTAATTTGGTGTTAAATAGAAGAAGTGATATTAATTTGGTAAAATTAAATGTTCAATTCATAAAATTGAACATAAATTTTAAAGCATTGAATGACACTTTAGTATTGATTTGATGAATTTGAATGTTAATTTGGGATTCAATTAAAAAATGATGTTAATTTGATCAATTGGATGCCAAAATTGATACAATTAAATGTAAATATGATAGAATTTAATGTTAATTTAGTATTAATTTAATAAAATTAAATTTTAAATTTGCTGAAATTCAATATTAATTCGGTATTAATTTAAAAAAATTGAATACTGATTGGATAACATTGAATGTTAATTTGCTAAAATAAAATAATAATATTATTAAATTTAAGATCAATTTTATGTTAATTTGATAAAATTTGGTATTCATTTGATGGAATTTGATGTTGATTTAGTAATGCTGAATATTAAATTAATAAAATTAATAGTTAATTTGAATAAATTAAATATTAATTAGGTAATAATTTGTTTAAGTTTAATGTGATTTTGATAAAATTAAATTTTAATTTGGTGTTAATTTTTTGAAATTAAATATTAATTTAGTATTTTTTTATTTAAATTAAATATTAATTAGATGAATTAAATGCAATGGTATGTGTAAACGGAGGTGGATATGGGGTGGAGTGGTGCTGAGATATTTTTGAAGAAAATGATGATTGACGTCACTCTTTTAATTGTCGGTGACGATTCGTCACGGCAAAAAGCGTATTTGAACTGAATTTTATAATACAAAATAAAATAAATTTTAATAAATTTATATAAAAATCTCAAATAAATTATCAACATCCTTTTTAAAATTATTTATATTACCCGTTAACAAATAAAGTACAATAAAATATTAGAATTGAAAAGGGGTACAACTAAAATTAGGCCTATAATAAATATAAATATTTAAAAAAATTATATTCATATTCCTTAAAATTTGGTCCTTAATCACTTATATACTACCTAACTTACTATGCCTTTAAGTGATTTACTGATTTAGTCATCCTAGAGTTGACCCGCTGGAGCTCCCCTCTAGTCTTCGAATTTTTTTTTTAGGTTATAAAAGTCTAACAAATTGACATAAAGGTTGTTCAAATTTTGACATATTGTGCTTTTTTAAAAAGATTTTTTTTTTGTTATTTTTAACAAAAATTTTAATTGTAAAATTTAAAATATTTAAGAAGAATTACGCTTAAATCCCTAAGATTTGTTACTTAATAATTAATATCTCTTGACATTTGAAAATTACACACAGACCCTTGAGATTTGTATAATCATAACACTTTGATCTCTATCGTCAATGTCAGAATATCCATTAATGAATTATAACTAGATCTTCTGAAGTTTGTAAACTTATAATATTTAGATTCTTTAAATTTAAAATGTTATATTTAGACCAAAAATACTCAAATTAAATATAGAATATCAAATATTTTAAATTTTACAACCAAAATTCATCTCCTATTATGACTTTTATTGAAATAAAATCAAAAATAAAAATCTAATTTTTTCTTAAAAAATTATAATTAGTACACAATTATTCTATTTATTAAAATTTAATTTGGTAATTAACTATCAAATTAAACTACCAAATTCCCTAAATTAAAACTATAAGGTAATGTGTTCATTACAGTTTGACTCCTTATTCAATGTTTAATTTTATTCTAATAGATATTATAATTGTATATTAATTATGATTTTTTAAAAAAAATAGATTTTTTATTTTTTATTTTATTTTAATAAATGATACAATAGAGCATAAATTTTGATTGTAAAATTTAAAATATTTGATATTTTATCTTTGATTGAAATATTTTTGGTCAAACTATAATATTTTAAATTTGAATGGTTTAAGTATTATATATTTACAAATTTTAGGAAATCTAGTTATAATTTATTAATACGCATATAAACTTAGGGGTCTGTATATAATATTTATAATATCAACGGTCTGAGTATTAAAGTGACAAATTTTAAAGGGTTTAGGTGTAATTTTTTTAAATATTTGATATATATTTTATTTAAATATAATATTTTAAACTTGAGAGATTTAAGTATTATATGTTTCAAACTTCCAACCTAGATATTACCGACATGGTCTGTGTTATACACAGTATAAATCTTCGGAAATTTGTATATAATATTTTAAATATCAATTAGTCTAGAAAAATAACACAGTATAAATCTTCGAAAATTTGTATATAATATTTTAAATATCGTCTAGAAAAATCTCAGCGATTTGAATGTAATATTTCCTATATATTTTCTGAATACCATCGCCCAATTTCCCCTCAAACCAGTTAATCGCCCTCACTCCGTCAGCTCCAACTTTTGCGTCTACCTGCAAATTTATACAATTGGAGTTAGGCTATATGTCCTCAAACATTCATCTCGCTCTCACTCTCACTCTCAATACTCTAAAAATTCGTGTTTTAAAGCATCAAAGCTAAAGATTTCCAAAACCCAAATTCATAAACCTTACAAATTCAGTTTATAGTTACGCACAAATATGAAGCAGTAAGAGAAATAATCTTTCTGGGTTTCATCAAATGGAGGCCATATCTGTAAACCCTACCAATAGTCTCTCCCGCGTACCTCTCACACACCCACCAGAAGAAGGAAAACATCCAATCCACTTTCCAACATACCTTGAAACCCCAGGTGTGTCTCCCAGAGCAAAAATCTTCTGCGAAATCCTCATAAAAACCCATCTTCAAGACGTTGAAACCACGCTTTCCTCCACCGGAATCGCAAGCTATCCCCAAGTCGTCGAAGAAGTTCTTAAATCATCATACGGTTCTCCAAAGGCTGCAATGAAGTTTTTCGGGTGGGCTGGGTCGACTCATAAGCACTCACTAGATTCTTGGAAACTGATGTTGGATCTACTTGGGAAGAATCAGTTCTTTGAGTCAATGTGGGACGTCATTCGATCAATGAAGAAAGAGGGCCTTCTCTCAATTGACACATTTGTGGCAGCTTTTGGGATCTATTGCTCCGCTGGAAGGTTCAAGGAAGCTCTCAAGGCATTTGATTCAATGAACGATTATGGGGTTCAACCCAATGTTGTAGCAGTAAATTATTTGTTGCGCGGTCTGTGTAGACAATATTATAGCACTAAGAATACCTTAAAGTTTTTCGGGAAAATAAAGAAGAAGAAGATTGACCCAGACGCTGATAGTTTTACTATATTGTTGGAACGGTGGGATAAGGAAGGGAATGTAGCGAATGCCATGAAGACATTGGGAGAAATGGTTGTTCGGTTGGGTTGGAGTCCAAAAAATGTATCTACTTATGAAGTATTCTTGAACACGCTTGTTCGTGGGAATCATGCTAGTGAGGCAATCAATTTTTTGAAAGTTATGAAGGGGAAGAACTGCTTGCCAGCTTCTAAATTCTTGTCGAATGCTCTTGATATTCTTGTTAAGCAGAATGATTCGGCTCATGTTATACCGTTGTGGGATATTATGTTGAGTATTGGGTTTGTCCCCAATTTGATAATGTACAATGCCATTATCGATTTGCTTTGCAACAACAATGATGTTGATAATGCTTTTCGTTTTCTCGACGAGATGGTGTTTTATGGGGCTTTTCCCGATGCTTTAATCTATAACAAGATTTTCCAATGTTTGATTAAGAACAAGAAGGTTTGTGAAGCGGGTAAGTTTTTTGTCGAGATGATCAAGAATGAATGCCCTCCAACACACTCGAATTGCGCTGCAGCAATCACATTGTTGTTCGCCGGTGACGACCCTGAGACGGCTATTGAGATTTGGGAGTATATGGTTGACAACTTTGTTTCTCCCCTTGATGATAGTGCGAATGCATTGCTTATCGGGCTTTATAAAATGGGGAGGCTGACGGACTTAAGGGGGTTTTCTGAGAATATGTTAGTCAGAAGAATTAATATCTATGAGTCAACAATGGGGTTATTAAAGATTGTTTTCTATAAGGAGGGTAGAAGTGCCCAAGATATATATGATCATCTTTCAAGGAAGTGGAAAAATGTTCCTAGGTGATCTGATCAAAGTTCTTCTTCTGATAGGCTTTTGATTCTTGGCTTCCTGTTCAGTGATGTTCTGAGACATATAAGGTATGTGGCAGTTATTACATGGAAAATTTTGCATTTTACCTGGTCCTCGTTGCACTGCTGCTTTATTCAAATCTTGTTGGGGTGGAATGTTTTTCTATTTCCTTGTTATGGATCCTGTCAATGGGTTTGGTTGTTGTCTTACCACTCTTTGCTGATGCCCTACTGGTCCCTTACTTGCTTAATTTAGTTTTCCATTGTTAACTGACATTTCGTTTTTTATTTTTTCCCTTTTCTCCAACTGTGTGAGCTACAGAATGAGGGGTAGTCTTCCTTCTTCCCATAATCCCACCACACTCGTGTTTCTCTGCTGAGACTTGAACACTGTATCTTCCTTGACTCTCCGGTGGCTGGATTGCCTAGTTGGCATATTCATTGATTGAGCATGGAGATCATAAAGATTTTGAATTGCCAAAAACAGTGCAACGTGTTTAGTTTCCAAGTACATAAAAACTAAAAAGCTCACGTTCAAGCCCGCAGTATGGTCATTGACTTGGAGGGCACTAAAACACGCAAAATGCAGGTAGAAGAAGAACTTGGTCATGGTGAGAGAGTCAAGCCACATTGCTGCTTCGTAAAATGGTATTGGACGATACACTGTGAGGCGATAACAATGTTGCAGTCGACTTAGCCAAGTCAATCCAGGTGTCAAGTTTCAGCCAAGTCAAGTGTGTCTCATGAACGTGTATCATTTTCGGAATGGAAAGTGCCGATTTGGATAGGTGGGTTGGTTTGACCATTGACTCAATTGCCAACAAAGCTTTTCAAAGTCATAAGTTGACCACGTTGTAGAGTTGATTCTTATTGGCAGGCCTCTAGCCCAAACCCCATTTTGTTATTTCTTTCTTGTTTGTCAATTGTGTAAGTATTGTTGAGTGACAGCTTCATCCAGCTGTTAAAGGTCTCTATCACACACCTTGTTTTATCTTTTCAATAGAAAGGAAGATGGTTCACTCACTATGTGTATGTGTGCGTGTGTGTGGATATCTTTCAACAAAATGACTTTCAAGAACAAGTTACTAATCCCTATGTCAAGAGAGTTTTGATTGGTTAGGTTAGAGGTGGTGTATTTGACTAAGATGGACTTAAGATGGAGGCAATATTAGGTTCAGATACCACGGGGTGAAAATCCTAAGATAGCATTTTTCCATGTGCTATTTACGTCTTTTGTGTAGCCGTTGTGCTTGTTATATTTTCCCATCAATGAATAACGTATTTAATTGCATTGTCAGAGTTACTTAGGTAATATTTTGTTTATAACCAACATTGCACTTCATCCATTGCTGGTATTGATTACATAATAGGGTAAAATTTACTTTAACCTACTATGGTTAGTGTCATGGGGTAATTCTCAATTTGATAACTTTTTTCACGATGGAGGTTACCCGTGAAGGCGATGTCTCTGTAGTCAGCCACTCAAACGCGCGCGCGCGCACACACACACACAACACACAAAGTACGGGAAAAAAACTCCTCAACCTTATATTACTACTCAACAATACAAGGAATTAACAAGTCCAACCAAGGACTCTCTTGATTACAAATGGCCCTAACATTCCCTATTTATACAAGGAAGATGATAGTTGACACCCCCAACTCTCTAGGGTTTATTGTCCCACTAGTTAGTCAGTTACATAAACATGGTAGTTTCTAGCCAAATATACCACAAGCCACGCTGCTTCTCTGCTTGATAGTTATGGTAATTGCCCACAATTATTTCCAATAATCAGGCCATGCATAGCCATTGGTCCCAACACTCGGATCATCAGGTGATGCATTGAGTAGATATGTCCTAGCCATGTGCCTGCAAATCCGCAAACAAGCTTTGCCCGTGAACCAATCAAGCATGTTGAGCCAAGCTTAAGTTGTGCCTTGCGAAGCCATATACCATTGTTGCCAGCCTCAATTATGCCCACTACATGTTGCCATCCTCAGCCGAGTGTGAGCTTTCATAACTATGGGTCCCACAACTTTTTCAGTCCCATAATTATCTCGTGTGTCCCTTTGTCCCCCTCACCTTAACCCTTCAAAAAGGACCTTGCTTGCGTGTCTTGTCCAAAGGTGCCAAGACTTGGGGGCACATGGCTTGCCAGGTCCTTGGTGCCCCTAACTATTACCACCCCCTTATATATGCTCTTAAAAAAGTTTTCAAAGTGACATGAACGGGACATCAGTTGGACTGAGGAATCATAATGACTGGAGGTTTTTGTCAAACACCTTAGTTACTTTATCTTGCTTCAAAGGCATAGAGTGCCTTGGTGATAGGTGCTACCAAAACACATCCATTTCTAACAAAGTTAATTAGGGTTTGACAGTTTGGCTTCCTTCACCTAAAAAAATAACCACATAACTTTTAAGTGGTCTGTGATTCAAAATACACCATTACAGTTTTCATCAGTTTAATTAGAAGTGTGAGTTATGTGTCTTATTTGATAGTTGGTAGGTAGAAAAGAAATTTGTACTTGTGTGGTTATATTTTAGGGGCATAATGATTATGACCAACCAATACTTGAATCTTTTGCTTTGAGAATAATGTTGATGCACAAATTGGCTTTTCACACCACCTGTCAAACACCTAATAATTATTACAATAATTAAGTAGCGAGAGAGAAACACAAGCAAGACAAGGGTTTATAGTGGTTCGGTCAACTTGATCTATGTCCACTTTGAAGGGCTAGACTCATTTGGTATTTTGTTACTTCAAGGAGTACAGTGAGAGTAGGGAGATACAAGCTATTAGAGATAGGGGAGAGTAGCAGATGTGCTCGATTGTGTGTGATGTCTCTTAAGTGTTGGCGGGACTTACAATTTATAGTCGCCTCTATCAATAACTAAAAGACTAATTTGGTAGAGCTGGTGCCATCTTCTCAACGAATGAGTCAGTTACGATACTCCCCATAAGATCCGGTTAAAGGATGATGTGATGGTTGACTTCTTCCAAGGCGGCGTGGATGAGGTTCTTGAATGACTCTTACTCTAAGGTGGCTTGGATGAGGTTTTTGGGATGACCCTTACTCCAAGGTAGTTAGGATGAGGCTCTTGAGATGATTCTTACTCCAAGGTGGCTAGGATGACCCTTCTTCCTCCCTTTGTGATGTAGCTCCTCGAACCTTGATGAACTTGATTGGCATAGACCTCATTTGGGCTGGACTCATTGGATCTTGTCTAATTGGACTCTTTATTTAGACTGGACTTATAACATGAGTTGGGCCCTTGGGCCTAGCCCATCATTTGCCCTCCAATGTCCCATGTCCAATGAAACTTGGAGAAGAGGGCATTTAGTTGAACTTGGATCTTGGTCGATGAAGACTCCTCTTGACTACGATCAATGTCAAGACAATCAGTTTTCTAGCAATTTGAGATGAATCCAGCTACATCTATGTGCGTTTCAACTGAATTTCGGGGATTGACCTACATGGTTAGGTTGCGGGGTTTCACTTACCCGATCAGGTGACGGGGGCTCGATTGTTGATATTTAAAGTTCCGCGAGTTGTAGACGGCTTGAGTTTCAAAATTGTGCTTAGAATTGACAAAAACAATGTTATTCCAACATTAAAATATCTAATATGTTACCTGAAGAGAGAGACATGTTGCTTGCGTGAGAGCAAAGACAGAGTTTGAGAATTTGCTAGTGAGAGAGTTACACCTCTTCAGATTGAGCTTTTGACGACCCGTGAGAGAGTCGCTAAACTAGAGGTAGGCTGACTTTGATGTTGCCCACATGAGAATAGAGGTTTGAGGGTTGATCGTGAGAGAGCTGCACCTTTTAAGATCAAACTTTTGGCGACCTATGATAGAGCTACTAAGTTGGAGATATAGGCTGTCTACTTGAGAACAGAGCAGAGGCCAAACTTTTGGCGACCCGTGAGAGAGCTACTCAGTTAGAGATATAGGCTGCGTACTTGAGAGCAGAGCAAAGATAGGTCAAGCTTTCAGCGACCTACGAGAGAGCTGTTCAGTTAGAGATATAGGCTGTCTGCTTGAGAGTAGAGCAGAGATAGGTCAAGCTTTTAATGACCTGCGAGAAAGCTGCTTAGCTAGAGACATAGGCTGCCTGCTTGAGAGCAGAGCAGAGATAGGTCAAGCTTTTAGCGACCCGAGAGTCGCTTAACTGAAGATATAGGCTGCCTGCTTTAGAGCAGAGTAGACATAAGCTAAGCTTTTAACGATCTGCGAGAGAGCCACTAAGCTGGAGATATAGGGTGCCTGCTTGAAAGTAGAGCAGAGATAAGCTAAGCTTTTGGCAACTCGCGAAAGAGCAGCTAAGTTGGAGATATATTGACTGTGAGGCTGCCTGCATGAGAGCAGAAGCAAAATTTGAGAGTTAGCCCATGGGAAGGTCACCAAGCCGGAGGCTCATTCTAATAGATGGAGATGAGGAGGGCGCTAAGGTGCTGGTCACTTAAGGGGTTGGGTGCTCGCGGCTTGGATCTTGAGAGCTAGGCGCCTGAGAGCTGATGCCTGAGGTGCTGGGCGCCTGAGGAGCTGAGCGCTTGATGTGCTGGGTGCTTGGGGTTGGGGTTGGGTGCCTGAGGAACTGGGCGTCTGAGGTGCTGTGGCGCCTAGGGTTGGACACCTAAGGGGCTGGATGCCTAAGGAGCTGGGCACTTGAGGTGCTGGGCGCTTAGTTCCTGGCATTGAGCGTCTGGGTAGGAGCACTGATGGGCCCCTAGCGCCTAGCATTGAGTCTTCTTGACAATCTCTCTCCTCAAGCGGTGTGAGCACAGCCACAAAATCTGTTAATGCCTGTACCTTTGTGGTTTTTTTTTTTTTGGTTAAGAGTTGGGCGCAAATGGTGATCATGATGGCAAGGACTCACCTCGCCTGGCTTTGGTGACATCCTTGCCATTTATGTATTTCTGTGCTTTTGCCCACAATTATGGCATGCCCTTTAGTGGGTGCCTTACCATTGAGAAAAGAAAGCTAGAT